ATATCAACTATGTCATTTAGACACTGAGCAGCTTTGTTAAGACTGTTGAATGTAAATCTTATTTATTTTTCTTCTGTAAACTGGTACACTGCAAAAAAAAAAAATTCCCACTCGGGATTAATAAAGTCATTCTTATTTGGATTCACAATGGCATAAATAAATTCTTAAAAACACATTTTAATGGTGACTTTTATCTTCTCTAAATTGTGTCTAAAAACATCAGCCAAAATGAAAAATGTGAACTTTATCCCTTTACAATCGGAGCACCATTTCTGTCCAAGAAAAAAAACCCCAAAACCCTTGTATATTTAGAGAACATGTCAATATTCTGTTGACTTTCATTCTGTGTCACATTTCTCCCTCCCGTGTGTGTGTTTTGTCTTACTGTCTTTGGTCAGATGAGCTGACTGGTCAGATGAGGCTTCTGGTGGATTTTGGCTACTGGTTTCTCACCACGGGATCCACAGGTTCTGCTCAGCCCTGATGAAACCCGTCAGACCCCGGAACGCGGTTATTTATGCAGCTACTGAAAAAGGCCTGGAGGCGTTCATATTTAGGGCCTAAGTGGGCCGGGTGGCGTGGAAACCTGGGCTGGGTGTGTTGTTGTGGGCAGAAGAGGGGGCGAGCGCACGCTGCCCGGCTGACGGATCACCTGTGCACCAGCACGTGCACGCCGGGGCCTGCTAATTGATTTCATCCCTCAGGAAAGCCATTTCATCATACTTTGTGTTTTTGAAGCCGTCTGACGACAGCCTTACAGCAGTAGGCCTGCACCGAGACTCAGGCCCGCTGGGAAATCACCAGCTCCTCACTGAGGAAGAGGAGGAGGAGGAGGAAGGCTGCTCCTGCTGCTGGAGGAGGGATTGATGAAGGAGACTCAAAGCCTGGTGGGCGTAGAGAAAACCTCAAACCAGATCTTTAATAACTGATGCACATTGTAGAGGACAGTAGCTACTAACTTGTGAAGTTTTCTGGTCTGTTCTGAAAATGTTGTTGGTAGTTTAGCAATAGGCGTTTGTAATGGCTTCAGAATATGAGTGTAAATTCACCTGGAGGATTGTAATCCGTTCTCCAGCATTTAGAATCTTTTGCGGAAGTCTGAAGTGGATTGGTGTGAGATTTTTGGGGCTTTTTCAACATAAATGCACTCAGGTTGTCACCTCGTGTTTATTTCCAGGTATGTGCAAAATACAAATGCAACTACATAGTGTAAGAAATGTTATTTATTCAACATAGTTACTACAATCAGTTTGCTACCGACACGTCTTGGGCTACGTGATGTGAACATGAGAAGCCGAGGGACTGGCAGCCCATTTCAAAGCTGCCCGTTTGCACACTTAGCACTAAAAGACCGCCAACATGTGCCCGAATATAAAAAATACATGACAAAAACGTACGTATCAAAGCCAAAAATATCTGAACAGTGAGAGACAAAAACTGCACCAGAACTTGTTTCCATCATGCTTTAAATAAAACTGTTCAAAACATCCTCAGAAACTGCTTTCTGATGTCATCATTCTCTACTTTAAACCCAGCCACAAATGTAAAACAGGTTACAGTTTTACAGTCCAAACCAACAGCAGAAAATAAACCACGGGCTCCATAGGGCATAAATAGTTACATTACTAGGTCAGTGTATAAGGCATTACAAAAACAACATTCCACACATCAATGCTGAGGTTAAGATGAAAAAGTGTCAGTCAGTGCAACGGGTACACAACGTATAAAACCTTCTGAGGTACAAGGTTGTTCAACTTGACACCAAACATTTCAAAATGGCCGGAACGCTAACTTCTAATTGGCCAAAATCACCAATCACTGTTGCATTGCAACCAATCGCGGTTCTCCATCCGAATAGGGAGTGAGATCTTCAGCGGGCGGCCCCGTCCAGGCGGGCCCGCACCCCCTCCCTGTGGGCGGGGCTGAGGCAGGGCCCGATGGCGTGCTCCGCCTCCGCCACGCGGCGGCGGAAGCGCTCCCGGTCCCGGGCCAGCTCCTCCCACGGCCCTCCGCGACACGCCCGGCGGGCGAAGGGCCAGCTGCGCATCACGTGGACTTTGACTTGAGGAGAAAACCGCACCTGAGGTCCAGAGAGAGGAAGACAACACAAGCTTAAATGTACAGCTAGAGTCAGTGAGTGGACAAACAT